TCACTTCCCTTGACTATGACAGCCACTAGGAACTCACTTCTGTGCCCCAGCACTAGGGAGGCAGAGGCAAGAGGATCTCAGAGTTCAAGGTCATGCTGATCTACATAGTTTCAGGACAGAAAGAACATGTCTCAAAACAAAATAATTTCTACTTAAGTTATTTCAAATTTATTCTAGACTATAGCACAGGTATTCATTAGTTACCATAATTAGCTTTGCAGACAAAGTGGTGCCATGATGGATCTCTGAGTTTGAGGTCAGCCTGGTTTACATGGACAATTTGAGGACTGCCAGAGCCACACAGAGATTCTGTCTCTGAAAAAAGGGTGGTAGGTGGTGCCAAGTTACTCTTTGAACCTAGGTGCCCAGATTCAAAGCAATTTACATTTACTGTAAGTTACATTTACTGATAGTCTCCCTCACTCCCAATAGCTGAAGTATTAGGAGACTGGTAGATTGCCAGGAACAGATAGAAGTCTGAATATAAAATTGAGATTTGGGGAATCATCCTATATAAGCCTTGCAACTTTTTTACAGCAATTTAACCTGCAGCCATATTGTCTTTCCTTAGAAACATTCCAGGTTATACTCATACCAGAAGGTAAGTATCTCATGAGACCAAACACACCTACATTTGAACTTAATGGACGGACTACAGTGTCAGGACTTTGTAATGAATAACTTCCTTTGATGCTTTAAACAGTTTTTCATTATAACTCTTACTTAGCCCCCCCCCCCCCCGCTTTCATTTATTCTTCCAGTTAAATCTCTAGAAAAAGTAAGCAGAGGGATGAGAATGACTCCAGGCAATATAAGTACCTCAGGTGATGTTAAAAATGGATTTAAGACACTTGCAGAGGCCTAGGTTGCTCATCAGTTGCTTTTCTCCTTTTGTATCTTTCAATTAGGCAAAATCATACATTTCCCACATAATAATCTAATAGATGGAATCACCATGGATTTCTCTGGTCAGAGACCAGTCCCATTCACTGTACATTTAATGCTTTCTCCAATAGTGGTTTGAAGGATCCCAGTTGGGGTTGGGGTTAGTTAAATAAGTTGCGAGATAGAGAAGGCTCAGCGGTTATGAGTACTTGCTGCTTTTGCAGAGGATCAGATTCAGTTGCCAACACTTACATGGTAGCTCAAAACCATCTATAATTCTAGCTCCCAGGGGAATCAGATGCCTTCTTCTGACCTCCATGGGTACCAAGCATATACACGAAGGCAAAACATCCACACACATGAATCCTTAAAAATAAAGAGGCTACTGCTTCTAACATCTTAAGGAAGCCCCTTTATTTCTGCCTGTCCCTACCATATTTTTTTTTCTCACATCCAAACCTCTATATTTGGCAACCACTTTTTGCTATTCCATGATTCATTCTTAAAACCCTGAATCTGATGCCTTTTCACTATATTGTTAACTCAGAGTTTATATGAAAAATAAAAATTAGGAAGCCTTCATGGGGAAACAATATGGGCTGAAAAAAAATGTTCAGAACCACCTGAAAAGCGCTAAGAAAAAGAAAAAAAAAAAGCAGAATTTTAGAAAGACACACAAACATGAACACTGAAAACAGAACAGCCTCATTTGCCTAAAATTCAATAAAGGCATCATGCATGGTATGATAATCACACAGAAAAAGAAAACAATCAATGTAAACAGTGCACCACCCTTAATGACTTCTCAACTATGACAGTGTTGTATCATATAATTGTTACTTATTCTATAATAGTCTGTTTTCAGTAAAGCTCACTTATTACATACAAGGAACATGCTATTTACTTGAAGTATTGCAACTGTAATTGAGGTACTCCATGTCAACTTTACTCACAATAGTAAGCTTTGTACAGTACCACTTCAGAGAAAGACCCAAATCCTTCTAATTATATCCTCATACTTACAAGCAAACAGTTTTCTTGTATAATTACGCTGATTATTGGAAATCTGAGCAAACTAAAACTGACTGGACTACATCCTTTAAATGGGTGAACTGCATATTGAATTTCATTTCAATAAAGCTGTTTATAAAAAAAGATACAACACAGAAGATTATCCTTTACAGCAAGTTCACTAAAATAGCATCTCAAACTAAGGCCTATGAATTCATACACTCCTATAATTGGTTATAGTTAAGCATCTCTGCATACTTAAAATTTCCTGAAATGGTTATGTTTATGAACACGAGCACATATTCTCGCAAAGACATGTTCTATGGTGCCCCTTTAACTGTTCAAACCTGTTAAAATTTGAGAAATAAGATAGTAAGTAAGATAAAGAAAGACATTATTAAAATTTTAATTTGAAGTCATTTAGACTTTAATTTTTTGTTCTGTTTTAGAGACAAGATTTCTCTGTGTAGCCCTGGCCAGCCTGGAACTTTGTAGACCAGGCTAGCCTTGAACTAAGACATTCATCTGCCTCTGGGATCAAAGGTGTGCACCACCACCACCCAGCTAGACTTTAAATTTTGACCCTGAGACATTTGGTGCATTTACCTTAAGCCATATAGAAAATCCAGCAGCAAAAGCTATGCCAACCTGTTATGGTAAACACAAAAGCTAGGGTACTAACTAACCTGAGACTTGTTTCCTAACTATTGTCAATTCAAAGTACGAATGTCAAACATATGAAAAATTTTATTATCTTGAATAAAAATATTGTTCAAAAACAAAACAAAAACACAAAGAAAAGGAAAAAACCAAACCAATACTAGCTAAAATAAATTGATGTGCTCATCTGAATCCACTTAGGGAAATATAAATACATACACACACACACACACACACACACACACACACACACACACACTGTGGCAAACATATACCTTAATCAAAGAGGAGCTCTAAAAGATTTTTTTTTTTCCTGGTCAATTGTTTTCCTTTTTATGCCTTAAGTTTCTAAAGAATATGTAATTTTTTTCCTATGAAAGTTGATGTAACTTGTTGAACCAGTCTAAAATACACTGATATTTTTCACATTTATGGTTGAATATCTATTATATATAAGGCTAAAACACTTCAAAGCACTCACATAACAAATAGTAGAATCCACTACATTATATTTCTCCCATTTTCACATTATTTCCAAACAATCTGTTATTTTTCTTTCAATAAATCAGTCTCCCACAATAACTCAAACTAAGATTGTGGCTTATGTAAATGTCATATAAAACAGAGCTTGATTAGCCTAAACCCTACAGTTAAACCTAAGGGCAGAAAGGAAATGGTAAACACTTTGTTTCCTTCCTAGTACTTACCATCATTACAGGTAGAAGGGCAGCGATGTTTCTGAGGCTTTTAGATTGTTGAATTTATGGAAGAATGGTTTTTTGTCACACTCCCATGGTTTCTTCTCACAACATAAGCTGAATCTTTGAAAACTATTTTAACTGCCATCATATCTGCATATACCTTTGATTGTTCCTATTGTTTTTTGGCAATTTAAAAACCAGTCTTAGTTTTCTGAAAGGAAGATGTAGTAATCATTTGAATTTTATTAATTTCTAACAGAAGCATAGTATGTATTTTCCTTGATGCAAACAAACCAGGGCTGGTAATCAAATCCAGGGCTTTGAATATGCTACCAGAATCCTTACCATTGAGCTACATTTCCTGCACAAAACTCGGTTTTCAGAATTGAATACAAAAGGGAGAATAGACAACTCAAATTATGCGTATCAGCATTTTTAACTTTTCAGAGACACTCAGGAAGTAAAAAATTTCATCTTTCCATAGTGAACGTCAGAATCTGAAACAAAAACACACAGTACTGCTTTAGTTATGCAGGATAATTTGAGATGCTGAGCAAAAGCTCTCAAAAGTTCTCGAAGTAATCAGACATTTGGATTATGCTAAAGAATGCACTGAGTGCACTTCAATTGGTGGGTAATAGAAGGTGATGGTTAATGTGTTAACTAACATTAACTACATGAAGAGGTGACAACAAAACACACCATTTTGCATAATTTTGTTAATACACGCCAACAAAAGAAAAGGTAAGTTGGTGATCCATGGTTACCAACTTCGAGGACCCTAAGTATTTTAGTATAGTTCATTCAGCCTTAAGCCCTCAGTAAGACTGCATACTTATAGTACCTTTCCAATGTCTTTCACTTTCGCTGGTGGGTAAGAAAGACTATGTGCTAACTTTTTGGTAGCTCCTTGTCTTTCTGTATTTTCAAGACCGAAGATACAACCCTGCGCGCTCTATTTGATGCCCTCTGCAAATCATTACGGTATGAAGATTCAGTATGTGTTGGTCAGTCACCTGAAGGAGAAAAAAAAAAAAAAAAAAAAAGAAAGAAAAAAAAAAAAAAAAAAAAAAAAAGACAAAACGACAAGAAAATTAACCTAGGTTTAGCCCCACTCATCAGGTGCAATCGGGCTTCTCGTCCAAAAGCGAGGTTCCCCAGTACCCACAACACAAGGTCACCTTCTGCCCAGACTGTCCCACTAGGAGGTCTAAGGGATCCCCCACGTCCAGAAGTGAAGCGACTCCCTGGGTAAAAAGCCGAGGGAATGGCGTGAGGCCCTATGCAACCCCTTCTTCAGGTTGAGGTTTACGACGACTCGCGAGACCATCTCCAGTTCGACGGCCCTGCTCATCCCCAGTGTAGTCTCCGTCCAGTCCCAGCCAGTGATCGAGGCTGTCAACCCCTACGTCCTCTGCCTCACCATTCTCACGGTGCCACCTCTCAGCTCCACGAGCCCCGAAGCCTCCCTTGGCACGCAGTAGCTCCTGAACTTCAACATGGCGGCCGGTCCGGTCTCTCTCTGGGCGCTCTGACCGGAGCATCCTGGGCATTGTAGTTCCGGATGTAGCCTCTGCGTCCCTCACGGACTTCAGAGGACTACAGATCCCAGAATGCACAGCTCTGGAGCATGGCTATTGGGGCCGCTCGGACAGAGGGATGATGTCATTGCAAAACCCGACTGCATTCATTGTGCTACGGTCTATCCACCCCCCCCCCCTCCCGCCCCTGCTGTTGCTGCTGGGCTCGCTATTGCTGCTCGCTCCAGCTGAGCCCTGAGTAGCAGCAGGACCAGGGCAGGGACTGACTCCAGTCCTTGGACTTAGGACACCGCAGCACCTTCCCTTACGTGCGTGACTCATTCGCATATAATTTCTGTTTATGCCTGGGGTGGGGAGAAAAATCCCAAACCAGGTGAGTTGCAGTGATTTATTCAAATCGTTCTCCCAAGTTATTCCTCCCGTTTAGTGTTCAAGGCTTTCTTTTGGAAGATGGGGCCGGGGATGGGGTTATGGATTCGGGAGGCTCTCTCTGACGCTGCTAAGAGCTAAATCGCTCTGTGCAATTTGGGTCACTGCAATGAACAACTCCAGCAACCTGCCCCAGCCAGAGGACTGGTGCCTGCCAGTTTCCTCGCCTCAACTCCCTTTAACCTTTTTGAGGCTGGGAGAGGGGGCTGGGCTGGCAAGGATGTTGGGAAGTGCACTTGGAAAACATGAGGAGGGCGAAGCTGGCAGACTGCAGTCCTGTCATTCTATGGCCCCGGTGCTGAGGTCTGAGTGGGAAAGGGTGATGTGTGGGAAGGAATGGAGACAGTGACTTAAGGTGGTCGTGTGTCTTTAGAACATTTGTGTCTCTTGGACTAGCATACACAATTTTTTTTTTTTGAAGATGAGGATGCTTCTCTTGAGTCACTTAAGTTTTATGGGGCTTTATTGTATGTTTGCATGTCTGTGTCGTTTGTCTCGCTTTTTTCTGATGATTTGAGGTGACAGTGTCCTTTAATGGTGTACTCCGTATCAGAAGTATTTCACGTGTCCAGAGAAGGTTTTCTTAGGTTGCTAGAAGCAGCATAACATTTTTGAAGCTTTTTTCTTCCCGTTTTCTCGACTGCGGGATTCAGGATTGTTTGCAAGTGGAGCTGATAGATTTGTGATTGTGTGAGTGTTTTAAATTACATCGCAATAGGCTCTTGCCACTGACAATGGTACTGTAACGAGCTGCGCTGCCGTTTCCCCAGGCTCAGTCTCCACTCTCACTTAAGGGTTTGTAGACGGAATAGATTAGGGAACCTGGGTACTTTTCTCTTCTCTTCTTTTTTCTTTCTTTCTTTTTTCCCCCCTTCTTCTTTTTAACACTTTAGGGAAAGGAAAAGTTAGATGTGCTGCCATCCTTTACTGGCTGTTACTGAAAGGTATCCAAGAACAGTGAGCCTGAGCAGGGGCACCAGAGAGTTTGTTAGTGTGTTTTTTGTTTTTCAACGAACTGACACATTTAATAAGGCGGACAGCATTGTGGCTTGTATGATGCTGGCTCTCCTCTTTTAAGAGTTACAGGGATGAACACTGCAATAATATGTTCCTTTGAGATAAACAGCTGGCTGACTCCGGAACAGATGGGGCCAGTCTTAGTGAGAGATATACAACCTTGGAAATGAATGGACTTAGGGTCAACCACACCCCCTTTAGGAATGTCAAAAGAAGGAGAAATGCTTAACTCCAAAATGCTAAAGCTTTTCACAGGTGAGTCAGGTTTTGGGGGGTAAAGTCATTACTGTCTGTCTTTAGCTTCTGTGAACCATTTTTATTCATTTTTAATTTAGATGCTCGGGTCTCCAAACTTGCAGCTGGGTGACAGTTTGTTAAATACTGCATGCCACTGAATGCAAAGGACAGTCCATTGTATGGGCTTTGTAAATAGAGTGATTTATTGGCATGCAATGAAGAGATTTTGGATTTGGGAAGATCAACGGTCTGTTGCTTCTTCCTACATTTTGTGGTGACACTCTGCCTTTCTCTTGTATGCCTTTCTTTCTCTTCCTACTCGGTTGACATCTCTTCAAATTCCGTTTCTTTCCTAGTCTGTTTGCAATAAATGTAGGTGTTTCCTCTCTGTTTCAGGATCTTCCCTGTGTTAGGAGAGAATCACATCTCTTTTTCTAAGTCACTTTCCAACCGCTGAATACCAGCCTCAACACCTTCACCCCACCCACCCCCAAGGAACCCTGGGGTTGGAGGATATTGGATCTGTGTAGACCTTTATTCAGAGTCCTCTTGGAAGAGGTTCTGCCCATGCCCTCCCCCCTTGGAGTCTGTGCTTAGAAGGATGACAGCAATGAGCCTGATCCTGGGCTGGGTTTGTGGTTTTCCTGACAGACATAACCTGGGCACAGGAGCATCTGGACAATGAAATGTGGCCATGGAACTCTTGTACCTTTCCTTTCCATGACACCTGCTAAGAAGTGCCCATGGTTTAGCAATCTTTTAATGCTTTACACAGATAATTCACAAATGATCCCTAAAAGAAGTAGTCTTAAGTAGTTTCTGATTCATTTAGTATTTTTGTTTCTTATTCCTGTGAGTGGTGGGAAAAAGAGTCTATCCCATAGCACAATGCTGAGTAACAGGGCAAGTAGCAAACCTGCATTTGTGTTTCTGAAGATAGTTGGAGTTCCTGCCATTTTGTTGTTTTTATGGAGGAGAGAAGTTTGTTGTATTATGTGTGTCTCCTCTGGAGCTGGGTGTGGTGGCAGCTGTGTCTTTTTATTTAACTGTAGTGTTTCTTTAGGCATACAAAGTCTGATGTCCATTTGAAGTCAGCCTATATGACAGGTGGATGGGACTTCTTTTGTACCACCTTTCATTATGAATTCCCTTCTTCAATGCCCCCTCACTCACTGGGGGTTTTAGTGACTTAGGGAGGAGAAATGAGATGAATGAGGATTAGATTTGGCTGTATCCCTGCTGTCCTATGACTTTAAAGAGCTGTAAGTTTCTTTTTGACTCAGTTTGTAGAACTGCAAAGGGACACCAACCCTTGTGTCTTAGTTCACCTATCCTGTTGTGAAAACCCTCTATGATAAAGCCCGAAACTTATTCTGATAGCAAAGGTCAACTGAGCAGGTATTGTGTGATAAGTAGTATGGTACATCAATGAAGAGAAATGTTCCTTCTGTATTGAACTATTCCAAGTGTGATGTATTATTCTTCCTGGGGATTGAATTGAAGATGGGATGGAAGTACCCAGTATGACTCTGTTCCCTTTTATGGAGCAATCAGGGAAAGTTTCCTGTAGGAAGTGACACTTGAGGGGACTTGAGTGGTCAGGAAGTAATTTGGGGTAGCAATGTGAGGTGCTTAGAGTAGAGCAAATAGGATTTTTGGCAAAAGGAACTGCACATTCAGCATACAAAGAGAAGAGTGGTGAGTAGGAGACAGGGAGTAGAATGAAGGAGCTGGAAGAGGCTGGAGAGGCTGGGGAGGCTGGGAAGGCTAGGACCTGGGCAGTTTTGAATGACAAGGTGATTTTGGTCTTAATCCTCATGGTAATGGAAATATAGGCTGTGATTTAATTAGTTAGATGAATGTCATATATGGAATTATATTTAATATGCGTTAGGGTTAGCAAGATGGCTCCATGGGTAAAAACAATTGTCATATAAGCCCGAGGACCTAAGTTTACTCCCTAAAAGTCATGGTGGAAAGAAAAGACTGTCTCCTGAAAGATGTTCTCTGACTTCCATGTGTGCTGCTGTATGGAAAAATGCTTGAGTGCTCGAGGGTGCATGCATATGCATGCCAATAATAAACGATGGGCATTGTAAAAGATAGAGGAAATTGGAGGAAAGCTTGACCAAGTTGGCTTTGGAGACTGAGCAGCAGGTCAATTCTGAAGTCTTGGTGATGGAAGATGATGCTTGAATCTTGGAGAGACACTACTTTTGAAAATTAGAATTGCATAACTGTGTTGATTGATTAGATGTGGGAATAGGAAGAAAAAGTAGAATATTGCTTGCATTTTTCCTTTTTTAAGCAATGCAGATAGATGACTTCTAACGAGAAAAAGACAGCTGATTGGATGTGTTTGTTCAATAAGTGGGGGACTCTGGGTTATGCTGAGTTTCAGGTTCCTGGGACACATCTAAGATCTTTGTTTTATACTTCTATCCTTTGTGTTGGGGTGTGGCATGGTTGTCTAGGGAAGAGACCTCTGATGATGCTAGGATGGAATGCTATTTATTTATTAATGTGTAATACTGGGAATGGCGTATTCGTTTTCAAGGTTTAGTTTTCTCATTTATAAAATGGGTTTATCTCACTACAGTATACTGATGTTCACATGTATGTATACCATGGTAGGAATGCATCTTCAAATGAGATGGTGTTTGCTTTTAAGAGACTTCTCTGAAGAGGAAAAGACTCATGAACATATGAAGGGGTGTGTAGCGATGTTAGGACAGCATAGCCCCACAAGAGACATTCATTGGGGGGGGGGTTGGGGTGGGAAATTAACAATGTGGCCCACAGCTTTTGGTTCTAGAGATAAAGGGGCAAGGAACAGCTCTAGCGAGTAGGTTCCCAGGTTGTGCACAATTTAGGGATTCTGTGTGTTTGTTGGCTGTATGACAAATTAGGTCTCTAAGGATGTGTTCTAAATAAAGAAAAATTTCAATATATTGAAAGATGTCGTTAGTAATAATGAAATGTCAAACATCAATGCTATTATATTAGCAGGTCATTTTCTGAGACCTATAGCCTTTGGGATGTTTTGTGGCTAAGTTTTAGGGGAAATTCAGAAGTATTTCAGTTCTCGTTTCTTTTAGGGTTCAACTTCTTAAATTCAAGTTAGTTTCTCAAAAATCATCCTAGTGGCCATAATATTCCTTAAATCAATGGACTTTTTGAATTGTGTGGGTAAGCAAAGTTACACATACACAAAATAAATACAATTGACAGTATTTTTCTGTGGTAAAGATATATACTTAACTTCAGGAAAAATTACCTCATGTGTCTTCCCCCCTTATTTTCTTGCATAGTAGGGGGGAAAGACAAATCAAATACCACAATGTTATAATTATTTAAAAAATAATTTCTGTATTTTCTTGACTGTGGTGGACATGTGGCTGGCCTTCAAATGAACATTTCCAAGTGAAGAGGAATTTTATGTGATCTGCAGATAACTTATTTATAGGTTCTTTCCCATGGGAATCTAACCTTTGAAAACTAGATGCTCCCTCAAGAGTTTTGTATCATAAAGATTCTTGAATTTTTTTTTTTTTTCAGTGCTGGGGACTAAACCTATAACATAAGGGTCCCTTGAAGGTCATCAGGAAGACAGGACCTATGAGATCACATGTTAATGTGTGTGTTCATGTGCTAGAGTTCATTTGTATGTAACACAAAAAATAAAAACCT